CACCTGGTGGGAAACACGAGGGTGACAATCAGACTCATGGGAAGCAGCTGACAGAGACACACTGGGGAACATAGAAAAACACTAGGGAAACTAAGGTGAAAACAGACAAACCATGACAATTTGTGAATTGTTATTAAATGTTTTATTGTTACTTTCACCTGTCACTGACTTAATCGTTTCCCATAATATTTTTAAATTCTTACTGGCTGAAATAATTTGATATTTAAAATATTGTTGTCTGGCTTTGCGTAATTCAGCAACACATTTATTTCGGTAACTGTTTAAACGAGACTGATTTTCAGAAGTTATGAGTAGACCTATCACTAAAGAAAAAGTGAAATGCCCCTTCAAATTCACTGTTGGTGATTATCAATATTGCACCTGTTCATTGGGTAAAGTTATTAATATTAGTTTTAAACATGGAGTTGAAGGTCATCATTATTTGGCATTATGACATGTTAAAATTAAAAATAAATCAATAAACAATATAAAAGTAAAAGGCACCCCTAAAGTCACTGGTTATGAAAAATTGTGACACATTAATTAACCTCATCTCAGCGACAGCAGTGAGTTTAAAAAGAGGATTATGAAACTAGTTTAATGCATAATTTGTCTCTGAAATACTTATTAAATCAAGTGTTTATTTATGTAGGGAAATGTATGTTAAACAACCTGGTAAAATACACCAGAATGCAGGAAATGGCATCTATTTTGTTCAAAATTTTCTGGGGGAGGACTCCCAGACCCCCCAACAGTGTGTCCCCACACTTTTAAAATGGTTCTGACCATGTTTATAAGGTAGTCGCTGCCTGTAAGGACATGAGAAAATGACCAGAACACAAAGATCTGCAGAAACTTTCAGGTAAAAAACAATGTAATTTTCCTGGTCACCTAGTGGTCTCCGTCTGACCACTACTGAGAAAAATGTCTGGCTCCACCACTGACTGCACTCCTTATGACCCGGGCAGACAGAACCTCATACTACAAGTTAAGCCTCGGGCAAGATCTCAGTGTAAAACTATAAGGCGGGGCTGTTCAACTGGTGGCCCATGGGCCAAATCTGGCCTGCTGGGGACTTCCATCCAGCCCCAGCCAATGACACCTCCCCCTCCCCCCAAATCATTTGTAAATGCAAAATTCATGATTCAATGCAAACAAAATAAACAAATCAAAAAGGTAAAAGATGGTAATACATGTTCTGTCACATGCTGAGGTGTTTCTAATGGACAACGCCCCTCCCCCAGCAACAAACCCACCCGTCCCTGATTGTTGGCTTTGAGTTAAATAGTCCCGCCACAAGGCACGTTGGTAAAGTTGTCAGGATCTGTTTTTTGTTAGCCTAGTTAAAACCAGCCCCTTGTTCTTCTCTTTGCTTCATGCAGATCTGCAGTCTGAACTGCTGAAAAACGATTTCTTGCTGGAGGCGTGGCCTCTGCTGAAGTTTAAAACGCTTGGATTTAATTTTACCCAGTCGCTGACGTTTGGTCGTGATGTATGTAGTGCACCAGCTCCACTGTGAAGGAAGCCGAGCTCCCTTACCAAAAAGTAATAGTATCTTTTAAGTGTCCTAATTTATACCAATAAATAAATAAATGAGTAGACTTCCAATATACTTTTTAGGTACTTATCTGAGATATACTTAACCAAGTTTATCTTACGCTGTACTTGGCTTGTATTAAAAATAAACTAAAATTCAAATTATACTTAATCTATAATTATGTTTAAAGGTTTCAAAGGAAAAGTACACTAAAAGTACATTTTCACACAGACTGGTTTATTTGTAGTATATTTCAATATGTTCTGTTATTTTAATCCTTTCTTGTCAGTTTTTGGAACAAATGCAACAGTGAAAACTACAAACGAGCCGCTGCAAAGAAACTATGAACATTTGAACAATTTAACTCAACAGCTCTGTTTCAGTGGACTGTTGTGCATGCCAAGGTCAGAGTGAGCTTTAATTTGACGGAACTGTTTGATGGAGTCAAATAAAATTACCTGAATTTATTTTTATTATAGTTTTCCAGTATTTTTCACCCCACAATAAAAGTAGAGTAGAAGTATAACTGTTATTTGGAGTATGCTGGTAAATGTAGGATGACACAGAGGCTCAGTTGGTAGAGCTGATGCCTCTCAGCAAGAAGGTCACCAGATCGAATCCTGGTCTGGGATTGTTTTCTCCGTGCATGCTTGGGTTTTCTCCGAGTACTCCGGTTTCCTCCTGCTATCCAAAAACACGAGTTTAATTGTCCCTAGGTGTGAGTGTGAGTGATTCTGTCTCATTTGTCTCTGTGATGGACTTGTGACCTGTCCAGGGTGGACCCTCACACTGTGACTGCTGGATATGGGCACCAGTGATCCTGAAAGGAACAAGTGTTTATGGTTGATGGATGGATAGTAAATGTATTTTATACACTAAATAGTGAACCAGTAATATATTCTTCGTGAACTAATATCAAACTCAAAATGTTACTTTTGGTACTTAAAAGTGTACTTTTATAAATTAACAAAAAGGCACTAGACGTTAACAGTTAGTAAACTAATATTATACCTAAAAGAGTACTTTCAGTATACTTCTGATTATACTTGCATAAACTTAAAGTGGGCCGATTTAGTCCCAAGAAGTATACCTGTTAGCAAAATGTTAGTATACTTTTATCAGTGTAATTGGTAAACAAAAGCACACTTAAGGAAAAACACTTTTCTATACTTTAGAATACTTACTGACATGTACTAAAGTGTACTTTTTGGTAAGAGGTGTCTTTCCTCCAGTTGTCTTCCTTGCATCTTTCTTCTAACATCCCCTGAAATGTTTGAAGCTCATTTTTCCACAACAACATTTTTTTTAAATAACAATTTTAGTTATTTCCTTGATCTCCTCATGTTTAATCTGCATTTTGGTTCTGAACGTACAAAAGTGACAAACGTTTGTTGATCATAAGTGTTAGAAGCATTTAATTGTTACCAATTGTGGGCACAGTTCCCCTAAAGCTCTAAAGCACTAATAGGGGAACAAATTTCCTAATTAGTGCTTTAGGGCTTTTGCTAATTTTAAAATGTATTAGTGGATTATCACTTGCTATATTGATAGGCTAAATTTAGAAGCACTAACTGAGGTCATTGATCAAAGTTAATGTTAACAGCTGAAGGTGAAAACTGTCACACACTGTGTTCATATTTGTGTCACTGATCCACCAGGTGACAATATATGAACACAAATACAGCTGTGGAATGTCAATGATAAGTCTCAATAAAGCAACATGACAGCATGTGACTCATGTTGTCTGTTGAAGAATGGTCATGGGTTGACTGGGTTATTTTTTTGAGCTTTAGAATTAGCTTTTGCTAAAAATTTTAGTGCATTAGTGCTTTAGAATTAGGGGACCTAAATATTTGACTTAGTGATTTAGGGCTACTGGAACTAATTTTTAGATTAGTGCTGCCCACCACTGGTTGTTACACATGTCAAATTTTATGTGTCTTCAGTGTTTTATAAAGAAGATATAATACATTTTGAGAGAAAAGTCATAGCCACAACAGAATCATTGGGCCTCATGCAAGAACCGTTCGTACGCACAGATTTGTTCTTAAGTTGTGCGTACGAGTGATTTAGGAGAATTTGTGGCATTCACCAATGTTTTCGTATTCTACGATTTTTTTCAGATACGAACAAAATTTTCGAGTGGTCCAGACCTGTCGTATATTTTACGAGCAGTCAGTCTGCTGTTATCCAGACGGGTTTTCCTCCCTAATAACTTTATATTTCGTTAGTTTGAAGATATTTTGAGTTGAAAATAAATCACACTCCATAATTATGTTGACAATAGGCTATTCTGCTTGAATTAGAGTTATAATTTTAAATGTAATAATTTAGACTAACAATATAAATCGTCCGGCCGGCTTATCTGCTATCGGGTGTGGGGGCAGCAGCAGAAAGACCCCGCACTCTCCACAGCGACACTTTCCAGCTCATCCTGGGGGACACCGAGACGTTCCCAGACCAGAGGGGATACATAATCCCTTCAGCGAGTCCTGGATTTTCTCCAAAGTGACAGACTTATTTTGAAATCATTTAAAAATGCTTATTTCAGAACCGCAACTGAGACCACTTGAGACCGCGCGCGTGTGGGGGTGGGGGGTACGGTGCGCAGCGCTGTGTCTTCTGAATAAATGAAAGTGATTTAACACAGTTGTTTATACTTTTAGCAGCTCTTTTTATTCCACAGCTGACCTGCTAAAAATGACAGATTTTCTTTTCTGGATCTCTGACAGACGGACTTCAATCTCTGAACTCGTAAAGTTCTTCTTTTTAGTTTTCACTGTCATTTTTATGAATGAACACTTCCTGATATCTGAGGCAGGAAACATAGCCTTATATGGTGTTTTTGGGGTGGTAATTATGCTAATCTCCTCTCGCGTGCACGAGCAGCTGGATAGAACAGGTGGAATTTACGCAGCTTATTTACACACTTTTCCTGAAGATAGAAGAGTTTGTTGAATCTGACGTGACATGTTCGTACGAACCCTTCGTACGAACAAAAGTAAGAGAAATTTAGGATAAGAATATGAACATGTTCTTGCATGAGGCCCATTGATTATGATTTGATACATTTATTGGAAAGTTTAGCTTAAAAGTAACATTATTAGGCTGTATGTTGAACATTCAGTGTTGAATTATTTATTGTTTCATAAAAGGTTTTAGATTTTTTAAAAGGTGCAGGAGGAAATTTGATATGAAAGAATAACAGACAAATAAATATAATAATGTTGCTTCAGTGTTTATAAATTGGTACCTTTAAATAAATACTATATTTTGGTCAGTAACTGTCAGAATGTGTTTATCTCTTTCAGTTACAAAGCTGGTCTATATTTTTAATGTTATGATATCAAAGATCATTTAGTGCAATTATGTTACAGTTTTAATAAAATAAAGTGACAGAACAAAGTTAAGATAAATGTAATGCCTGATAAGTCTGTTAAACACTGAGCTGAATGGTTTTTTTTTTGTTCTTCTGACACTTTTTCCCTGAAAGAAAAAAAGAAACTTGTTTGTTTGTAAAATGTTCCCTGTCCATCAGTCTTTGGAGTTAAGACTCCTTCAGAGGAGGGAGGAGTGTTCATCTTTTAAGCTGAAATGAGGATTTATTTATCTAATTTTTTTTTGCCAGCGCCACACTGCAGCAGCTTAAAGAGCCTCAATTTCAGTCAAGTAACCAATAATCCTGAGCATCAGTGCAGCCGGTGTCAGAGAGAGTTACTAACCCGTCATTAGCAGAGTTTGAATGCAGGCTTCTGAACCTCTGGACACTTCCATTTGTCTTCAGGCTGGATTTAGAGGCTAAACAGAAGAGAAACGAACAAAATGTGATCAAATATTAACAGAACAGACTCCTGATAAGAAATATATTTGACAAATAGTTTTGTTTCTTTCACATGAGCAGTTGTACTTGCTAGACTAATGGTCCTCAGTCCTTTTATGTTTCTCTGCTTTGACACACCTGGTTTGATTAAAAGGCTTGAAGAGCATGAAAACAAATCAAACATTTAGCGTTGTGGACCTCAAGGATCAGGACAAAGAACCACTCCTCTAGACTAAAAAACATTGTTTACATCAACGTTTTACAAGAGATCCTTTTCCTTCACCGTTTGAGATAGTGGTACCCAAAGTTGGCATCACTTGGGGTCATGAAACACCAATTGTGGGTTCTTGTGAAGAATGCCAAGGAACTTTAAAAATAATTGCCATTAGTATGTTTAGCCCTTACTGTTACAAAATAAAAGTATGAACACCTTTATAAAGTTTGACAAAGCTCTTCATTAAATGGACTATTAAAATATTTGTATATTTCACCAATATAGTTGGGTTGCAAGTCAGTTAAAAGCAGTAAGGTTTAGGAACCGTTTCCCTAAGACCCCCTTCACGCTGGACAAGACCCATGTTTGGCATAAAAAAATCAACCTAAATGTGAATGGTTTTTTGTAGAGTGTTGTTGAAATATTAAGGTGTGCATTAAGAATGTAGTGTTCCAAATTATGGGAAATAAGTCCACAATAAGATACACAAAACCTCTCTATGAGGTTGTGATGCTTTATTTGTGTAAAGGCTGAAAAATCCATATGTGCAACCTGAGTGCATCGGTTTGAAGAAAATTTTGTGACTAATTAACCCAGAATTAACCGAATTTGAGATCCAGTCTTATGTTTTACACTTTGTGACCACATAGTTTAAAGAGAGGAACAGAGTCAGTGTGTCTTATCCATATGGGGCCTTTCTGTCTGTATAAACAAAGTGGGTTATGTTTTAATGGCTGTGTGGGCTGGGTCTTGGCAGGGGGGTTCTAGGGGCGGGGCCACAGGGGCATTGGCTCCTGCTGAAATCTGATTGGCCCCCTGAAGTGCCCCTGTCCTGTCACTCATCCGTCCTTTGCCTGAGAGCAATGATGATGGGTGCAGTTCCATGCCCAAACACTAGAGGCGCTAATGAGTCAAACAGTAAAGTCCAGCATGAATCAATCTTACAGAAGTCTTCTTTTCTTCTTTAAAAGACTTGAACAATTTTGCAAAAAAAAAAAATCTTTAAACTGGCAAACAGTGGCTTCATTTTCTCACGTTTTGAGAATATCTCATACGTGTACAGTAAAAATGCATGTAACATTGATAAGGATAATTTAAGCTTTTTCAATAACATTACATTAGGTTACAATTGTTGGAACATATGTGACCGGTTAAACTTATACACCTTACCAAAACCAAGGATTTATGTGCAAGGATGTTGGACAAATAATTGGCCCCTCTGGCCCCTTGATGGCCCCTTACTCAGAAAAATTCTAGATCCGCCCCTGGTCCTTGGTCGACCATGAAAACTGGAAAAAAAGTGGCTGTGAATTTGGACGGCCTGCTTTATTCCTGTCCTTATCCCGGCATGTGTCCAGTCACCTAGCATCCGCGATGATGATGATAAACACATGCAAAAATTGATCAAAATTTGAAAAATACGTGCGTGTTTATTTCGCTAAACCAGCTCGTTTGATTTCTGACAAGAATAATACAAAAAAAACGTCTATACAAATGACAAAAGCATTAACAACACAACAGCTTGGAACTTTTCATTTTTATACCTCCTAATTTTTATTTAAAACTCCTTTTTCTCACTTCGTCCGCTATGCATTATGGGATATGGTGGGCGGAGAAGGATCCATCAGACCTGTCTCTCAAATCAGAGAAAAAGGAGGATGCATTTGTGGACCACATCAGATTTGTACAGCCTCCGGTGGAGGACACAGACCCTGAATTTGAACACAGCCGCTGTCTGATGTAAAGGGTACCGCCTCCATGGGTGTGACCAAGGAGTCAGATGTACACGTTACTTTAAGAGGGTGATTCTTATTCATCTTGGTGCAGTCTCTCTCTCTTAGATCATCCTGGGACAGACTCTGGGCTCTTGAAAGGGATTGTTATTTATTTATTTATTTATTTATTTATTTATTTATTTATTTATTTATTTATTTATTTATTTATTTATTTATTTATTTATTTTGCTGTTCTAATAAGGCCAAGGCCTTTTTCGTCTGCTGGCTGCTGTTGGCCTTATTGGAGTCAGATTGAGAATAAAGTTTTTTAGAAGAGAATCAACTGGATTTCTGCTATTTTGTTGAGATTTACAGTTTATTAGACAATTTTGTTACAGGTTTGGTTTTAGAGAATCTGAAGTCAGACTGACATCGTGATTGTGACACGGTGATAAAAGCAACCAAGCAATGGCAGCCATAAAGCTAGCATCATGCTAACGTGGCAGGAGCACCCTGATATAGTAGAAGAGAACCAGGCCAGGACATACAGAGATGTACAGAGCACAGTGATGATGCAGGTGAGCGTCAGACACAACAATTAATGTCAAATATGTATTTAAGAGCATAGCTGCAACATGGCATCCTTCATTTGGAGCGAGGGTTTGCAAATTTCCTGCAATTCAGCCATGTTATAAAACTGTGTAGATCATAGAGAGGGAGTGTGTGGATGCATTTTTACTACATCATGGGGACCATTTTCCAAAAAGACAGCCTTGTGGGGACCCCACGACTGGTCCCCATGTGTACAGATGCTGATTTTGGGTGGGGGGTTCAATTTAGAACTAAGGTATGATTTGAGTTTAGGTTAGGTTTAGGGTAAGGGGTCAGGGTTAGGTGTAGAAATTAACAGTAAATGAGTGGAAGTCAATGCAAAGTCCCCAGGAGGATAGAAGAACAAACGTGTGCGAAGAGGATTTGAAGATGTTTAGAATCAAAAATACTCTGATCTGTCAAAGAGGAGTACATTTTTCAAAAGGTTGTCAACTTCTCTGTATTTGCATTTATAGCTGTAAAAATGAAGTTGAAATTATTTCATGTTGTTTCACTAAAACTCCAGCTGTTTTACACAAAATCTGTTACAGTTTCATTTCACTGCATCACTAGATTAGTTTCATCTGATTAATCGCTGTGACTGTGAAAGAGCATGTTTGAAACATCTAATTAGGTTCAGGCCTCTAAGAAGAGAGTTTATTTTGTTTACAACATTTAGGTTTTACTTCCTGAGAGTGATTTATACATCAGAATATTAAAGGGGCAATATTATGTGTTTCTCTGGCATACAGTATATTTAAATTCTATACCAGAGGTGCCCAAAGTGTGGCCCATGGGCCAAATTTGGCCCGCCAAGCCATTTGATTTGGCCCACCACCAGTTGTCCTGGTTACTAGATTGTAATCTGTCTTATGTAGAAACACTATATTTCCACTTAGTCTTTTCAACAATTGGTCCAACTTTACGTACAAGGAGCTGTAGTCAGATAGTCTTAACTCATGGTACTGACTTTCTTTGAATTGTGTTAAGATTAAATATAAAATACAAGTAACTTCAAGAGACATTTATCTTAGATTTAAGTCCATATCTAGATTTTCACACCTTATAAGACCACATATACTCAAAATTTAAAATCATGAAAAGACTCAGGAGCCTTTGCTGCCCGAGCATACTTTGAATTTTCTCCATGTTCATGGGCTGAAAAATAACCAAACAAACAAAATGTGGACAAACACAATGGCTGCTAGCTTAAATTTAAAAGAAGTATTTGCATTTCATGTATTATATTATTGCATTTGGCCCACCCCACTTAGACTGATTTTAATTTTGACCCTCAGGGAAAATGGTTTTTAGTTTTGGCCCTCTCAAGGAAAATCTTTGGGCACCCGTGTTCTATACCATGATAAAGTAACTATAAGCTGCGTTTCCATTGACGATGAAATGCGCAAATGAGAATTTCGAAAATAAATTTGCTCGATGGAAACACGTCAGTTTTGGAAAAAATTTCCTTTTTTCAACAAAATGTTTCTGTGCTAGGATAAGGTGGTTTTTCAGCCATATCGAACATGGAGTTTTTCGCAAAACTGCAATAGAAACACTTGTTTTGCATCACAGGAGTCACGTGATCAACAACCGGCTGTTTCTACTGTCGAAAAAGACAACAATGAAGACAACAGGAAGTAAAAATAGTAGTAAAATCACCGACTACAATTTCCCAAAAACGCAACATACGTAGCCACTCCCAAGTATAAGGGGTTTGTCACTCGAAAGCCTCAATAAGACGCCAACATCTCCTCTGATGATGAGCCCTAGTGTTGTGGTAGCAACATGCTATGTGTTTACATCCGTTGCCACCATGTTTGTAATGACTTATCACGAGAACAAACGTATTCACGCGTGACTTTAATAGCGTTTCTTACTTAATGGAAACACTGCTTATGTCATCTTCAGTTGTTATTAAAATGCTGTTTATTTGTTTAAATAGAAAATAAACTCGACTTCTCATCATATCTGTTTCTAAACGCCTTGAAATTGGTCTCTGTCTCTTTAAGAACCTCCTTCTGCTTCTGTCCCACCCGTTTCAGCACGGGGCTGTGTGTGTGTGCTCTGTGATGAGGAAGCTCAGTGTGGAGACACAGCCCAGAGGAGGAGCTGGTCCCAGAAGGAGGTTCTAGTCTCAACCGGTTGTTTTTGCTCTCCTGCCTGTCTGCCTCAGGACACTACAGGATTTCTCAAACATACATTAATGTGTCAAAGTAAAACTCTGGGCATGTTTTTGATGAGAGGATAACATTATAACATGATATAAAACTCAAAAAAGTTGATTTTACATGATGCTGCCTCTTTAAAACAAATAAAATATCTAACCTGAGGTTTGAATCTCTTCACCGTCAGTGTCTCCCTGGTGTTTATGGTGGGACATAAGGACGTCAGTGAGTTCCATCATCTCGTGCTGCAGGGAGGTGACTTTAGGATCTGGATGCTGTAGAGCTTTCCTGTCCCCCCCTGACCCCCCACACACGCTCCCCCACTGCTCATCCAGGAGGCCTTGGATCCTCCTGATGTTGTGAATGACCTCCTTTGTGTGTTCTCCCTCGGCTGAAGCCAAACTTTCGGCAAACGTTACAGAGTCGTGATGTTTCTGAACGTCTGGGGTGACAGTTTTTGTACAGATAAAGGAGAAGGTTTTCTCAGGATCCGGATCCGGTTCACTGGCTCTCACCACTGTCTCATCTCCATCCTGGTCGACCACCACCTTCTCTGCACGCACCCACGAGCTAGGATTCCTGATGAGATGCTCCATCTTCTCATCCTTCCTCTTGCTCTCCTCCCGCTGCTCCTTCAGCAGCCCCAGCAGCCTCTGATGGTCCAGCTGGGTCTCGTGGAGCTTCTGCTCCAGCACGGCCACCTTGGCCTGCAGGGACGTCACTGTCAGCAGCTCATCCAGGTCTGTGCTGCTCTTCCACTCACGTGTGGTGTTCAAAACATCCGGGGTGACGTCACGACATCCTTTGACTTCCACTTTGCCGTAGCTGGGAAAAAGTCCCGGCTCCGTAGTTCCGTTCATCTTTGAGGCAGGGGTGTGTGGACCCAGATCCAGACGGAGTCTCTCTCTTTCCTCCTGCAGGATGCAGATCTGAGCCCTGAGCTCAGGAATGATCCTCACTTCCATCTCCAGCTCCCCCACACGCTCCAGGGCTTCGGTCAGGCGCCTCAGCAGCCCCGAGCAGTCCTGTGGACGGGGGCTGTCTGCAGACAGGAAGACATCTTCAGACGAGGTGTCCACCCCTCCCAGGTGATCCCTTGAACTCCGGAGGCTGCTTCGGTCCTCTGTGGACTCTGACTCCTGTCTCAGTAGGACTGTGAGGGGCAGACTGGAGGCCCTCAGGAGATGAGGCCGGATGTGTTCTCCGAGAGGCTGCTCATCGAACTCTTTGATTCTGGCCTCCATTTCAGACAGAGTGTTTAACCCCGTGGGGGACAAGGTTGCCCTCCTGTTGTAAGCTGCAGAGGAGTAGCCATGATGATGGGCTCGAGGTCCAAGCGCTCCCATAGACCCCCAGGGGCTCGGGCGGCAGCCGGCCCCTGAAGGGTTGAGCTGCCTGGGCAGAGTGCTGGCACGAGGTCCTTTACTCCGGCGCTGGATGGGAACTCTTTTGATGGTGTTGCCTTTCTCGATGTCGTCCACGTATTTTAAAAAGTCCAGATCGATTTGGAAGCCGTAGGGGGTTTCCACCGAGTAGGAGGGCTTTGTTTTAATTCCATTCTCTGCCATTTTACTCCGTGGGATATTTCCTGTAAACAAAGTAAAGAACAAGTAACTATATGAAGCACAAAACATTCACTGCAAAACTTGTTCATCTTACCAAGTATTACAGTCTCATATCCAGCAAAAAATATGTTTGATCTTGTTTTAGGACTGTTTTACTAAACCAGAGCATGTGTAAGATTATTAATCTTGTTGGCCTGGAAATTTGACTCAGATTAAGTGAAATGATTTGCTAATGGAGTAAAACAATTGCACATGGTAAGATTCTTAAAATATGGAAAATTTAAGTCAAATTAAGAGATTTCAAGCATTTTACCAAGTGCAATTGTTTTACTCTATTTGTAGATCATTACCTCTGCCAAGGGCGAGGTAATGTTTTCGGTCACGTACATCTGTCTGTCTGTCGTTCTTTGGACAACATTACTCAAAAACTTGTGGACTTATTGTCCTGACATTTTTACCACATGTGAGTACTGGGCCAAGGAACACACCTTTACATTTTGGTGATGTTCTGGATCACGATGCGGATACAGGAATTTTTTTTTCTTTTAACACTCTGAGATCGGCAAAGCTGTGATGCTTTCACAGGGCTTCTGTAAAAACCAGTGAGCTGGATTGGACAGCACGGACTTCAAACTTTATAAAAGTAATGTTAAAACCAGATTTAATGATGAATAATTTTTGCCATAATATGCGCATTTACAGAAGGTTTTGTGACCAGGAAGTGCGTGACTGCACCGTGAATCCTATTTTTCCCATTTCCTCAAACACACCACATTCCCGAAACAACCAATCAAAACAGTTTCTCGCTACTAGGCTTGTAAACAGAGAGCTGCTGGACCTCAAAGTTTGGAGACGGGGGAAGCCAGGAAGGACTTTATAAAGAGAGTCAAACCATTACAAACTCACACAAGGGGATAAAACAGATGTTTTACATGGTGAAATGTGACTGATGAAAACTTAGGAGCTTAATCCAACACCAGTTTGATGATAAATAACGTCGAGTGATGAGTCTGACTTTTTTTTCACATTGGACTCCACTGAGAAGAAATCCCGTGCATACTGCCTGCTTAAATGTTCACTACGTCAGGACTTATTCGGCAAATGTGTTTCCATCTCTGCTTTTGTGCATTACTCTTACAGGATGGGGGAAACTGGTCTTGGCGGAGGTTTGCACTCTCCGAGTGCTTCTAGTTTCACTTAATTTGAGTCAAATTTCCAGGCTAACGTTACATATCTTACACATTCTGCTCCTGTTTAGTAAATCAGTCAAATCAAAAATCAAACATATTTTTTTGGCTATAAGATTTTAAAACTTGGTTAGATGTACACATTTTGCAGTGTACCACATTAAGAGTCTTTACTCCACAATTATTTGCTCTCTAATAATTTACTGTTATAGTAAGCTGAGCTAAAACTTCAACAACAACAAAAAAGCTAAAATGAGATTTAATTGTCAGACTTTTGATGAGGGTTTTCCTCCAGATCTCCAGACTTTTTTCCTCACAAACACAACTGTACTCCAGTATTTCACTTCCTGCTCAGTTCGTTTTCTTGGATTTTCCAAAGATTTCTGTTTTCTCTCACCCTCACTGCTTTATGTTTTGCCTGCAGCAGGCAGCTATGATTCAACCGTGGCAGACCCTGATGGTTGTTTGATTACAGTCCTGCTGTCCAGGACCAGAGCTGAAAATAGTTTGCAACTGTTTTGGCCAGCAGTTTAAAAAAAAAAGACAAAAAAATCTCCTCCTACTGACACAAACACAAACTGTGATTGTTCTTACTCACTGCTTTCACCACTGTGCCTCCTAAACGCTCTGGATCCTCCTGTTTTTCTGTTCAGTGATCTGTCTGTAACTCTTTTATTCTGTTTAATGTGTCAGTTTAATATTAGACCACATGAAACTAAATACTCTTTTTTTTGTAAGGCGGTTAATCCCTCCATCTTCTTTAACTCCAGATAATTCCCCCTTTGTTGCTCTATCTCCTCTTTCAGTTAAATCATTCCTCGTACGTCCAGTCCACCCCCCCCCCCCATCTTCCTCTCCTGACCACCGGCCTCAGTGGGAGCTCATCTTAAAGCACCGCAGTCACCAAGCCACAGCCCCAAACAATGTCAGCTATGCAGTAAACAGACAAACACCCCCAAACTGCCCTCCAAGGAATTTGAACCTCTGTCACCCACACATCAACACAAACACACATAAACAACAACAAGTTAAAGGTAGGGGTGGGCTCATGTTACAGGCTGGGTCAGCAGCAGGTAAGGAACCAGTTCTGCATTTAGAGTTTCAGATGTTTAACAAAGTCTCAGTTGACATGAGGAACTTTAGTCATCTGATACATGAAGATAAACTAAACCTTTTGTCTTTTCACCTCTTCAGTCCGTTAGTTTGTTGCTACGTCGTGTCGATTGGAAGGTTTCAGACTTTGACACGTTTAAGTTTAGCCTGCGAGTTCAACGATTAAACTCATTTCGGCAGCTCCATTGCTCAGTGGTTAGCGCTGATGCCTCACAGCAAGAAGGTCCTGGGTTCGGACCTGGAGTCTTTCTGTGTGGAGTCGTTCTCCTCGTGTGGTTTCCCCCACACCCCAAAAATATGTACAATAGTTGCCTTGAGGCCTCCCTTGAAAAAGGAATTTGTGATCTCAGTGGCATTTGCCTGGTTAAATACCAGTAAAATAATAATAATAAATACTCTATAAGTCAGGGCTATTCAACTGGCGGCCTGCAGGCCACATCCGGCCCGCAAGTGACCAAATTTCGGCCCGTCAATTTGTTCATTCATCTCTTGAGCCCAAACCCCCGGTTTTCTACTTTAATTACTCTAAGTTCTTTCAGTTAAACATAGACATGTTTGGTATCTACAGAAACATCAGAATCTTGGCTAGAAGCTGGTAAAAAAACATTTATACAAACACACAAAGACAGTTAAAATTACAAGCAGTTGAAGATAAAATGATGAAAGTGGAAATAAAATTGGTTAAAAAATTTGGCAAGTCAGAGATGTTACAATATTATTTGTGTCTAATAATAGGAGGTATAATGTGTTATTTTTGTTTTTGATAATGTGTAATTATCACTACTTTTATAGGGTTCTGTATGTGTTATTTATGATTAAATGCAGCAAAATAAACTAATTCAAAGGTAACAGATCTTTGTAATACTTGGTTTATTTACATAATAACTTTAATTGCTGGATGTTTGGCCCCTCAGCTGTTGACCTGCAGTAACTGTGGCCCCCGGAGCAGTTTAGTTGAATAGCCCTGCTATAAGTAAATCTGGCTTTATTCTAACTCAGTGGTTCCCAACCTTTTTAGACTTGTGTACCCCCTGAGCCATTTTGTCATACCACTAGTACCCCCTCAGTCAAAAGTAATAACGATTCTCCAAAACTATAAACTGATTATTAAATGAAAATTATTTATTTAACCCCTTAGAACATTTAGTTCTCAGGCATTTTATTATTTTCAAAGAAAGATAAAAGATAAAGAAATGTTGCCTTGAAAGTGAATAAGTAATTGAATAAATAAACCGGATAATGGCAGATGCAGGAAGCAGCAGCGTCCAAAATACATCAGAAACTCACCAAAATGAGTAAATTCCCTGAGATTCTGCGTTTTCTACTGGATTCCTTTTTGTGTCAAATCTGTGATTGTTTTACACGATGCGGAAATCATAGGATCCTACATATCCCAGTCCTATTTTCATTTATTTGTTATACACATGGAAAATTTCTCCACATACCTCCTGTAATATACTTGTGTACCCCAAGGGGTACATGTACCCCTGGTTGGAAATCACTTTTTTAACTAAATGTTAGTGTGTTCAACCTGGGGTACAACCCCCTTCACACTGGATGTTGACCTCACTATGATCAACCAAAATATGAGTGGTCTTTGCAGGGTCTTGGTGAGGTCTTCAAGTAAGTGTAAGAACCCTGTGAGCTTCATGTATCAGAGCCTGATGAAGGATTTTGAGCTCCAAACTTCTATAGCGAGAGTGTGGTTGGTTTTTAATCAGAACCTGGGGTGGAGTGTTGGTGGTCTGACCTGGTGAACGCCAGCGTGCCTTGTCGTAGAGCTTAGATCAGGACCGGCCATGTTAGCTTCACGCCTATAAGCTCCCCCCACCTAGAGCCGACATGAAACATGATTTTCTTCTGTTTGTAGCTGAATTTGTTGCACAGTCTGAGGGGGATCACGTCACAGTGGGACTACAGAGCAGGTTGACGGGGCAGGTTTTGTGGAAACTCTGTGAATTTCTTCACACTGACAATGGTTTTCCAAATTTGCTGTGATCGAGCCATGCTCCACTCACGTGTCAAACTTAAGGCCCACAGGCCAAACGTGGCCCGCCTCAGCATTTTTTGTGGCCCACAAGAGATTTGAAGATGCATTAATATCTTAAAATGAGTGTATGCAGCTTTAAAGCCAGTATTGATCATAAAGTACATAATGCATGTCAATTATTTTACCAGAAAAATAACGGCATACCACCAGTAGTTGGAAGAATAGGGTTCAAAATAAATTTCACAATATACAGGTCCACATCAATTTATCAATTAAATGATTGATTCTATTTTATCAAGGCAATTTGAAAACATAGATTCTTATCATCATCATAACATCTTCAGGAAATGCTTTAGGAAAGGGGTGATGGGTACAACTTTACATTGAATTTCAAAATATGCAGTATCCGAACAACTATGAAAAGATTTTGTATCTCTGTAACTGGAGTCAAACAATGGAGCTCAATGTCCAAGCATCAACCAGTTTAAAAATAAAATGCAGAACTTTATTACTCACATTTTATAGAGAAATAGGAAATTAACACAAATATATACTGTACTATGACAATAAGTTCCTTTCTTCTGTTTTACCATAATGATTATTAATAGGTCATTGTTATTTTACACTCATTATTATCATCATCAGTTCTTATTATTCTATTTTTAACTCAGATTATGTAATGTTGTTATAAGGTGTACATTGACAAATAATTTGTAATCATTCTGATACTGTT